AAGAAAGAAAAAAGAAAGGAAAAGAGAGAGACAAAGAAAAGAGAAAGGGAAAGAATGAGAGAAAAGAAAAAGATAGACAAAGAGCGAAAGAGAAAGAAAAGGAAAGAGAGAGAAAGAAAAAGGAAAGAGAGAAAGAAAGAAAAAAGGGAAAGAAAGATAGAGGAAAAGAGAAAGAAAAAAGGAGAAAAGAGAAAGCGAGTGAGAGAAAGAAAGAAAAAGAAAAAGTGAGAAGTAAGAAAAGCGAAGGAAGGGGAGACGGTGAGAAAAAAGAAGAGATGGAGGGAGGGAGTGGAAGAGAAAGAAAGGAAAGAAAGGAGGGAGGGACAGGAGGAAGGAAGAAAATGCTGCCTAGCTCCCAGCAACTCTGGGTTGCTTTGCTAATTGTAACATGTTCACTTCATTCCCTGAACCAAACCGAGTGTGTTTGTGTGTCTTTGTAATTTTGGGCGTGATTATTCACATTTCCAAAGCAGATCATTTTAAAACTTGGACAAAGTATTTTTTTTTCTTGTTCTTCTGAGCCCCTTAAGGTCCTATTTTTTTCCTCTTTTTATTACTTTACTAGATGACAATTTGTCTTTCCTGCCCTCAACCGTAGAAGGTGCGCAGTGTTCTGAACGTCCCTGAACACACTTGCAGGTGTTCCGAAAGACACCAAACCCTCAGAGAAAGGAGTCGTGAACCCTATAAATTCGTCACTTGTGGAATGTTTGGTCAACTCTCACCTGAAATCAGCAGATCTTCAAGTTGGGTCACTTGCTTTCTAAATATCAGGTCTCTGATAAAAATGAAATGTAGGTTTCATTGGTTCTTGCTTGCACCCTATGAAAAGTATCAGCGAAGGGAGAAAGTCAGTTTGGTGTGGTGGGGAAAGTGCTGGCCTAGAAACAAGGAGACGGTGAGTTCTAGTCCTGCCTTAGGCATGAAAGCCAACTGGGTGACTTTGGGCCAATCACCAGGAGACGGTGAGTTCTAGTCCTGCCTTAGGCATGAAAGCCGACTGGGTGACTTTGGGCCAATCAACAGGAGACTGGGAGTTCTAGTCCCACCTTAGGCATGAAAGCCAGCTGGGTGACTTTGGGCCAATCACCAGGAGACAGTGAGTTCTAGTCCCGCCTTAGGCATGAAAGCCAGCTGGGTGACTTTGGGCCAATCACCAGGAGACTGGGAGTTCTAGTCCCGCCTTAGGCATGAAAGCCAACTGGGTGACTTTGGCCCAATCACTGGATGGTGAGTATGCCATAGGCATACAGGTTGTGAGTTCTAATCCCACCTTAGGTAGGCCCTTGCCTGGAGAAGTTGCTCCACCACTGGAGGTTTTCTTTTTAAAGAGGAGATTGGACAACCGTGTGCAAGAATGTTGTAGGGTCTCCTGCCTGAGCAATGGGGCTGGATTGGAGGACCTTTAAGGTCCCTTCCATCCCTATGATTTTATGTTCCTCAGACGTGGCTGGTCGCTCCCACAATTTCCCTGCCACGTTTCCTCCCCGCCTTCTTGCTACCCAGCCAGTTTATTGCAAAACAGTTCCTCGTTCTTAACTCCTTGAGTTGAGAGCCCCACCTGACTGTTGCAAAGGCTTACAAATCCATTTCCTTGATGAACAGCAATCCCTTAAGAGGACACAACACACACACACACTTGTGTATATACACTGTGCACACTCTGTTGCGGGAAGTCGGTATTATTGAACCCAGCCCGTATTGATTGAAGCATTAAAGGAGCTAACCGGAAAGGCTGTTTGTGGTTGGAGACTGAAGACGGCACACTGGACAGGCTCAGGAAGAGGAGGAGGAGGAGGAAGACCAAAATGCCATAAGGCTAGTCCTCGACATACGACAGTTCGTTTCGTGTCTGTTCAATGTCGCTGGAAATAAGTGACCCGGTCCTCGCACTTACAGCCTGTTCTGACCTAGGCTTCTTCCCAAGATCACGAAGCCGAACTCCTCGTCCCGATAAAATCCCTTTTTATTTAGATTACAGGGAATTCCTCTCCAGCAAAGTCCCGGCAAACAGCCTTTCAAGAGAGTTCACAACTACAGATCTTGATCAGGCTGGGAGAGTTGCCAGGCCGATAGCTTCGAAACGCCACGCTGTAGCAACAATGACTTGGCAAGGAGTCAGGCACAGATCTTCACCCTCATGAATTGAACGAATTGTCCCCTGCAAACCCCCCTCCCCTTTCGCTCCTCTTTTATTCCCTTTGGGAGGGGCCATTTCACCGTCCACCTGAGCCTTTACTCCCGAGTCGACCCTTGTTCCTTAGCTGTTCCCTTCATCTGGCAGCTCTGTGCATGAGCACACTGGGAACAGGCTCCAGCTGTTGTTCTTCCCCACTGATCTCCGTCTCCAAAGGCAGCTGATAACTGTCAGAGGGTCCTGGCCCCATCTATGTGTCCGACGCAGAGCCTTCCCCAGACTCCAGGACTGACCCAGGTTCCTCCCCAACCTCCTCACTGTCCGCTGGCCACTAGTGGACCACAACACTACCGTAGCAGCATCCACATGGTCATTTAAACAAAATCTGGTCACTGGAAGGGCAATCGGCGTATTTTTATGACGGTCGCAGCGTCCTGGAGTCACAGGGTTCCGCCTTTGTGACCTTCTCACTTAACAGCCACATTACAAACTTAATAACTGCAATGATTCGCTTAACAACTGTGGAACAAAAGGTCGTCAAATGAGACAAAATTCACTCAATAAACGTTTTCCTTCCTCACAAAAATGTTGGTCGTAAGTCGAGGACTACCTGTATCCCCCGGGGTTGGTCTAAGAAAGCATCACAACTGCCTTTGCCTCTTCCAGTAATGCAGGTTAGTCCTTGACGTATGACCACAATGGAGCCCAACATTTCAGTTGTTAAGCAAGACAGTTGTGAAGCAAGCTGTTGCGCCATTTTACAACTTTTTTTTTCTTTTGGCTACAGTTGTTAAGCAAATCACTCTCGTCGTTAAATGAATCATGGGGTGGTTAAAGCAAATCTAGCTCCCCTCCTTGGCTTTTTCTTGTCAGAAGAAACAAAACCTACATTATGACCGTTTTTTTCACACTTACGACCATTGCATTTGCGACTTCCCAGCCAGCCAAAGCCAACTGGGGGAAGGGGGGGGAAACAGAATTTGTTTAATGACCACGTGACTCGCTTAAGGACGGCAGGGATTCCGTTAATCACGGCAAAATAAGGTTTTACGATTGTGTGGGGCTCGTTTAAGAACCGCCTCGCTTAGCAATGGAAATTCTGCTCTCGACTGCGGATGTAAATCGGAGACTTATCTCTAAAGGGAATTGTAAGAAGGGAATTGTAAGAAGGGGCTTGTCTGAAATGGGGCAGGGTCTCCTGCTTGAGTGGGGGCCTGGACTAGAAGACCTCCAAGGTCCCTTCCAGCTCAACCCTGATGGATTGCTATAGCATCGAACAGCGTTTCTCAACCTTGCCAGCTAAAGCCGCGTGGACTTCAAGTCCCAGAATTCCCCAGCCGGCAATGGGGTCAAAGGTGGGGTAAAACATCTCTCTCTGGGCTGGAAGAGATGAGATTGTGTTGAAAGGATCAAAAAAGGACTTTCCTCTTTTGGCATTTCTAACTTGGAGCAAGTGGTTAGGATGGAACACCACCAGGAGATGCCACAGGCAGAATCTTAATTTAAAAAACAACAACAACTCCAACCTCTCCACAAGGTGGCAGTAGTAAACCACTTCTACATAGCTGAATGCTGTGTATAGCTATACCCAGGAAGTCACCAAGGAAGGATCAAGCTATAATGGCACCTGGAGAGGTTTTGGCAGAGGGGGTGGTGGTGAAAAGACAATGCCAAAGGCAGGGGTGGGATTCTACCAGTTTGCGCCTATTCGCTAGAACCGGTTGTTAGCATTCTAAGCAGTTCGGAGAACCGGTTGTTAGAAGAAATTACAGGGCTAATCCTGTAAGGAAGGCAGGAAGGAAACATTCTGGTGTTGCTTACAGAAACTGCCTCTCCATTAACTCTTATTACATTCTTGGCAGGACTAGACTTCCTGTCTCAGGGACTTCTCTGGAGTTTTTTTCCCCTCCTTTGCTGGTACTTTGCTTGTGTGGAGTGACCATTTAAAGTTACAATGGCACTGAAAAAAGTGGCTTATGACCATTTTTCACACTTACGACTGTTGCAGCATCCCCACAGTCACGAGAGGCCAGGTGAGGAGATGCGTGCCTCGATGTGAGTGATATGGAATTGGCCACACCCAGCCAATCACATGACCACCAAGCCATGTCCACCCAGTCACATGACCACCTAAGCCACGCCCACAGAACCGGTTGTTAAAAATTTGAATCCCACCCCTGGCCAAAGGTATCCGTTGGATAAGAGACAGCATGGCTCACAGCAGCAAAATGGACCAGGCAAGAGAATCCAAAGAGACCTTCCTTAGCTTAATAGGCATGGAAGGGACATTTGAGGTCTTCTAGTCCAGCCTACTGCTCAAGCAGTCTTCCCTATACCAATGGTGGCTAACCTTTTGGGGCTCCTGTGCCAAAAATCGCACTCGGGTACCAGCACCCAGAAGGCAATGTGCGCTCCCCCCACGCCCCCTACACATGCGCACATAATCCACACACACACACGCTACCCCTCTTACCTGCACTGTGCCTCACAGCTGATTTTCGGCCGGACTTCCGGTATTTTCGGAAAAACAGGAAGTGATGAAACGGGCCAAATTTTCATCCCGCAAAGACTCCAGAAGCCTGCAGGAGCCTTCCTCAAGCCTTTGGGAGGCCGAAAAAAGCCGCAAACAGGCCGAAAATCAGCTATAAGGCACGCGGATGCCCAGACAGTTAAGTTTGCCTGCAGCTCACATGCCGGCACAAATGGCTCTGCGTGCCACCTGTGCCATGCATGCCGTAGGTTCGCCATCATAGCCCTATTCCATCTCAGACAAGGGACTGTCCAGTCTCTTCTTAAAAGCCTGCAGTGTTGGAGCATCCAGAACTTCTGGTGGCAAGCAGTTCCACTGGTTAATTGTCCTCAGAGTCAGGAAGTTTTTTCTTAGTTCTAGGTTGCTTCTCTGCCTGATTAGTTTCCATCCGTTGGTTCATATTAGTATGGAAAAAAAGCAAAAAGTTGTGACTTGGAAGTTTTATTTTACTGCCACAGAGAGAGTCCGTGTTTCTTTTTCTCTACTTTTTCCTACCTTTCCCCACTTCCCTTTCCTCTTTCCCCTCCTTCCTTAATGTTGCTCGATTTACTTTTATATTTTGTATTTTATCATACCAAATAATTTAATTAAAAAATGTTTGGGGAGGTTTGCATTCTGTTAACATAGCCTTACAATTCAGCAGATCCATCTCATTTGTTTGTGTGTGTGTCCTTTCTCATTTACCACATTCCTCTTAATCCTGCAGGTTTGGGGGGACTACCTTCGCCTTGAACCATTAAGGTTTTCTTTGGCCCCATCCCCTTTGTCCCCTAAAACAGGGGTCCCCCGATCCCTGGCCGGTGGCCCGCCAGCAGCCTGCGCCCCATTCGGATGCAGACCGCGGAAGTGGTAGGTAAGCGCACATTATGTGTAAAGCTCCATTTGTATCAGAGGTGGCATTCAGCCGGTTTGGACCGGTTCACACGAACCGGTAGCAAAAATTTTTAGCCAGTTTGGAGAACCAGCAAATACCACCTCTGACTGGCACGGCCTGCCCGCTCACCCGCCTCAGCCCTTTCCCATGTCAACTCGTAAAACATTCCTATGCCTGTTTTAGTAGTTGCCGTAAAAAAAGAGGGAGGGGAGGAAGGAAATTTGGAAGAGCGGTGCAGCAGTTTGGAAGCGAAAGTCCATTCCAACTCTTCACCTTTAAAAGATTGTAACTAAACTACCAGGGCTTTTGCCCATGAATATAATTCAATTGGAGAATGTGAATGATGACACCCAGCCCGTGTTCAATGGGAGAATCTGATTTATGACACACCTAGGGGGGAGAGGAGTAACAGGATCACAGAGGACTGGAAATGATATAGGCCAGAGTTGGCTTCCTACGGGGCAGGGCCAGGATGTCGCCTCTAATGAATCCTTTGAAGTTTGGCTCGAGAATCATGATTTAATTAGGGTGATTGCTGGAATCCTGACAGCCCACCCTATATTCCATCGATTTTTAGCTCAGCTGATTCCCGCGGCAGAGAAGCATGCAGAACTGGTAGCATGCAATTTTTGAATCCTACCACTGATTTGTAAGAGTGACAGCTATCCATGCCCGCCTGTGACTCAATGCCTAACCATCGCCTCTCCCTTCCCTTGCCGGTCCCCCAAGCCAGAAAGATTGGGGACCAATTCCCTAAAAAGTAGGGTGGCTAAAAATCGATTATTATTTTTTTTAATTTAAAAACATGGATTTTTTTTTTTTTAGGTAAATCGGATTTTTTGTTATTTAAATCGGATTTTTTAAAAAACAAATTTATTTTAATAAAATGCTTTTAGAGTAAAAATTATCTATCTAAAGGTAGTGTTCTATTTAAGATACATGAATAATTTAGTTTATTCAGTATGAAATGGAGCTTAGTTTTGTAGCATGAAGGCGTATATTCTGCAATGTTGAGACTGTCGGTGAGTCAACAGCAGGTCAGAGGAGGAGCTGCTACAGGACAGAGATGACAGTTGCTCTTTAAAAATTATGATTTAAATCGAGCTGATTTCAAGAATAGCCTTTGCCCAGAATTGGAAAAGTGACAGTTTAAAACTTTAAAAAAAGTTTTCAAATGTGCAGAAATGGATAGGCTTTCAATGGAAATAATGGAGAGAGAAGAGACAGAGTACCATGAAATTTGGAATTTATGGTATAATTGGTTGCACAAAATAGAGAGATAAATGAAAAGTTATGGTGAGATGAAATAATGTGATATGAATAAGCATAATTATGTATAATGTATGAAAATATGGTATAATTTGAACGTAAAATAATTGTAATGATATTTAGTAATATTCTCTATACGTAAGAATATGTCAAAGTGAGTGAACACTACTACAAATGCGCGGCAATGAATGGACGTATGTTTTTAATTGTTTTCAATTGTAGAATTTGTTTAATAAAGATTATTCTTAAATAAATCAATTGAGGTGATTTAAATCAAGTCTTCTTACTAGTGATTTCAATCGCGATTTCAATCATGATTTAAAACCAACGTGATTTCAATCAAATCCATCCTGCTAAAAAAGGCAAATGACAAACACACACACGGACATAGCACAAAAAAAAGGCCCTTTATTATCCCTGAATTGCATTACAATACTGCAGGTAGTTTAACATCAGGAAGACCTGTATTGACCTGTAATTGACCCCAGACCAACCTCCGGCTGGCTGGGGTAGGAGTGGGAAGCTAAAATCATGCAGAAGGAATTTATTTATTGCTATCGTATTTTATTTACAGTCTAAACACCGAAAGGGAACTGGGGTACCGTCCCAAGTGCAAAATCTACGGGCAGGAAACCAGGCGCTCTGGTTCAATGAGAAAGAGAGAGAGAGAGAGACGCACATACACGCACATACACACACACAAACACAAATCCCTGCCGGGCATTGCCCACAGAGAAGACTACACCAAGGAAATTGTATCCGTGGTACAAGTTGTGGTGTCCATCTGTGCGCTCCCTGTGCGTGAACGATATCCTGAAAGCTGTGCTAGACGGGGAGGATACAGCGACGACGTGCGGACATCCGATGCTGACCTGGCATGCTTTTTTTTTGTTTTTTTGTGCTGTGTGCATGGGCCCCAGTGTCAATGAATGTCACGCTGCCCTCGACAAAGGGGCAGGAGGGATAAAACAGTTAAACCGCTCTGGGAAAGTGGGAAGTGGGGAAAAAAACAGACCACAGAATGTCCCCATCTGGACCCCATCATCCTTACAAAGGAGTAGGAAAGATTCTGGATGTCAAGATTTGGTGAACATACCCTGCAACGGTAAACTACTGTTCCCACTCACGCTAGTAATGCTATTACTAAATTTGCAGGTGATACAACAGTGGTGGGACTTATCTTGGAGGGGGGGGATGAGTCTGCCTACTGAGATGAGGTGGACCGGTTGCTTTCGTGGTGTGGAGACAATAACTTGGTCCTCAACACCAATAAGACCAAGGAGCTTATAGTGGACTATAGAAGGAACAGATCAGACCTCCAGCCCTGGCTTATTAATGGAGACCGACTGGAGCAAGTGGCCAGTTTTAAGTTTCTGGGTGTTATCCTAAAAGAGGACCTGACCTGAAGTGCTCACATTGCAGACCTGGTCAAAAGGGCCCAGCAGAGATGATACTACCTGAGGTTTCTCAGGAAACAACAACTGAATGAAAACCTGCTGGTGACCTTCTACCGCTGCACCAGAGAGAGTATCTTAACTTCTTGTACACCTGTGTAGGGTTTGCCAGTTGCACTGTGGCAGATAGGAAAGCCCTCCAGAGGGTTAACGTCATTGCCCAGAGGATCATGGGTTGCCCTCTCCCCTCTTTGGAAGAGCTTTATAGCTCCCGCTGCCTTAAGAAAGTTCCAAACATTCTCAAAGATCCATCTCATCCTGGGCACCTTTTTTTTTAAACTATTACCATCTGCCAGATGGTACAGGATAATAATAAAAACAAGGACAAATAGGCTGAAAAACAGCTTCTATCCCAGGGCAGTAGCTCTTTTGAATTCCACTGTATATAGTACAACGACGATGGTATTTAATTTCATTGTATGATGTGCAATGACAATAAACTAAACTAGCATTCTTGAAATCCCTGCAGAGTGTGCGTGTGTTTCTCCCTGGCCTACCTTGAAGGGCTGAAACCTGAGGCTTGTTGAGAGGGAATTAAAAACATCCAGCATTCTTTCTGGCGACAGTTTACAAGCTCCTGAACTCTTCATAGGATGGAGGAGTACATCTGCCCACAGCCGCTGTTCATATAACAGACTCGTCCACACGGGTTATACAAAGCTTGTAACACTCCACTAAAAACACGCTAAGGTGGGTTGTGGGAAGCCACACCATTTCCTTTCCCTTTTGGTGTGGCTTAGCCTGATGGGAACCTGGTCCATCCAATTCGTTTATGGTTGAAGGTGGTTCAACCATGGTTTAACACAGTATCCCAGTTAAGGGTTGGACACCAGAAGAGGTGTCTGCGGACGGCTGTTCCATTTTCTGTGGAGAGGTTGAATCTAAACCCGGTTTTACCAAAGACAGTTGCTGCATTCACATAACATACGACGTCTGGAGGAGTCTACCACATTATGGCTTAACATAGTGGCCTGGTTCATGTACCCTGATGAGGCTATGTCTCAGTTACTCTGACACATTAAACTATAAGCTACAAGGTAAAAGGTTTTCCCGTTTAGTCATGTCTGACTCTACATAGTATGGTACCCATCTCCGTTTCTTGGCCGAGGGAGCCAGCGTTGTCTGAAGACAATTTCCATGGTCATGTGGCCAGCATGGCTAAATGCCGAAGGTGGCCAGAACTCGGTTACCTTCCCACCAAAATGGTGCCTATTGATCTACTCGCATTCGCACACTTTCTACAAAACTACCAACAACCTGTCTCTGTTTGATCCAGGCTACTATATTGTGTGAACCCAGCTAAAAGCTTGAAGGGCTGGGAGCTTCACAACCTGGTGTGCAGCAGATGCTATGTTTTCAGGAAGGGTGGAGGGCCGGGAGAACAGGAACACAACATTGAGAACAGAGACTGCATTCATACAACGTACTTAACCTGATCAGTTAAAAAGACCCGGCTGATAAATTTTGCAATTCCGGGTTGGTTGTGGAATTAAATCTTGGCTAGGTTTTCGGGATTGGTTTAGTGCATTGCTGATACCCACACATGGGAAGACAAGTGAGACCATATGAAGGCGGCTCAGTTTTGCGTCCCGTGGTGGTCATAAAACGAGCTGTCTGGTTGACTTGGGACCAGTCACGCCTTCTTACTCCAAACTCTCTTGCAGCCTTGGTGTCCCAAAGGTGCTTTTTTCAGGTGACAACTGGACTTTCTGGTTTTTTTTTTGTTTCTTTTGAAGTCGTTTCGCTTCTCCTCCGAGAAGCTTCTTCAGCTCTGACTGGATGGTGGGGAAAGGAAGGATTTGTACTCCTTGAAGACAGCTGGTTATTTGCATCCTTTTCGAGAGTCGTTGAGGCCACTTGGAGGTTTATATGTATCCTTGAGTGGTGCAAACAGTTCCTGTAGTCTGCAATTTTTTCTCTGGAAATCTATTTCTACTCCCACATCATTCGAAGAGCGTTCATCCCAAATTGTATAGCTAAAAGTCCGTGGAGATTCTCCATCCTCCAGGTCACCGTTGTCCCCAGTGGTGGGATTCAAAAATTGTTTCTACTGGTTCTGTGGACGTGGCTTGGTAGGCGTGGCAGGAGAAGGATATATGCAGGATCCCCCTTCCCTCCCCACCCCACTAACCTGCTTTCCAGCTCCGTTCTCCTGTGCAGGGCAACCAAAGAAGACCCAGCCGATCAGCTGTGACTCAATGGGAGACAGAGAAGAGATGGGGGCGGGGCCAGTCTGAGGCGTTATTTGCTGTTTCCCCGAACTACTCAAAATTTCTGCTACCGGTTCTCCAGAATTGGTCAGAACCGGCTGAATACCGCCTCTGGTCACCTGAATACCACCACTGAATACAACCTCTGGCATCCTTCTCCTCCAATCCTGGTTAAGAATAAACCAGGATTTATCTTTTCATCCTCCAGGAGACTGGATGGAATACGTTGGCGGATAGAGAAAAGAAATTAAAGGGATGCTTCTGGTGTATATAGGTAATCCTTGACTTACGACCACAATGGAACCCTGAAATGTATGTTGCTAAGCAAGAAGTCGGCTCAGTGAGTTTTGTCCCATTTGACAAGTTTTCACGCCACGTTTGCTAAGCGAATGGCTGCAGTTGTTGAATGAGGAACATCGTTGTTAAGTGAATCAGGCTTCCCCATGGATTTTGCTGGTCAAAAAGGTCACAAAACGGAGTCACCCCAGGACACTGCAACTGTCATAAATATGAGTCAGCTGCCAAGCGTTCAAATTTTGATCCTGTGACTTCCGGGGATGCCGCCATGGTGTGTTAAGTGTGAAAAAAAAAAAAGAACGGGTCACAAGTCCCTTTTTTCCAGAGCCGTTGAAACTTCAAAACAGTCGCTAACTGAACCGTCGTAAGTCGAGGACTACTGGATTCATTGCCATCTTAGTCAAAGTTTCTTCTTCCTTCTTCAGCACGTCAACCGCATGGCGTAACTTATGGGAGAAAATCCATCCTGCGATGGCGGGGATGAGTCTTCCCGTAGAGAAGTGATCTGGGTTCGATTCAAATGATCTTGGCTAAAAGTTATCCAGAACTTTTTATAGGTTAATTCCAAGCTGGGAGATCCGTCTTCTGTAAGACAGTCGTCGCGACGGTCGTCACGACAGCGATCCGGAGAAGAAAATCAAATTATTATTTTTGTGTGTGTGAAACTCTTAGATTTGTCTTTGTTAAGGCAGGTTCCTGTGCTCTGGCTACGCCCGCACACAGGCGTTCGACAGCAAACATACAACTTCTTAGCATTGGCGCAGAATTCGATTTGTGATCCCTGTTTGAAAACATCTGCTTGGTCTTTTGGAGCAAAAGGTATAAAGACCAAACACACACACACACACACACACACACACACACACACACACAAAATCCACCCCGCAGCAAACCCATCTGTAACCGGTTCCTTCCTATCTAGAGTGCATGCAAAGAATAGAATAGAATAACAGAGTTGGAAGGGACCTTGGAGGTCATCTAGTCCAACCCGCCTGCTCAGGCAGGAAACCCTATACCGTTTCAAACGAAAACACTCTTCCCCGCCACCCACCCGGCCCCTTACCCATTGGCAAACAATAAATAGGATAATAAATAAGATAAATTAGAATATTTAAATAGAGAACAGCCCTAAGCTTAGGGCAACAGCGGCTCTTCTGGGGTGCTCAGATTTACTAAGAGAATTTGCCAGAAGGAAAAAGGTGGACGATGACCAGTGTATATATTGTCAACCCATAAAATATTTCTATGGTCTTTTTAGAGTTGCCAACAGAAAGGGAGGGAGGAGCAGTGCAGCACCTTGGAAACCGAAAGTGCATTCCATAAATGTTTTCAAAGATAGTAACAAGGTGACGGAAGTTTCTGCGCGCAAAATTCTAACTGGAGAGCATGATTGAAGACTCTTGGCTATGGAGGTGTCCCATTGGACAATATGGACCCAAAAAGGTGGTGGGGAAACTAGGGCCAAGGGTGACCATAAATGATGTGTCTCAGAGTCAGCTACAGTGCTGGATATGTTAACTCCCAATAAATCATTTTGAAGTTTTGGAAGTTTGGCTCGAGACTCATGATTTAAATGTGGGGTAACTGCTGGAATCCTGACATATATATTTAATTTTAGAAAGAACTCATTTTTCTTTTAATCACTCATAAGAAGAGCTTAAAGGCTGACTCTAGGAGCTGAGGTGCTAAAGTTTCACTACAGTCCGTCCTCGACTTATGACCATAATTACAGGCAGACCTCGACCAGAGGTGAGATGCTGCCAGTTCACACCAGTTTGGGTGAACCGGTAGTTAAGATTCTGTGCAGTTTGGGGAACCGGGAAATCCCACCACTGGCTGGCTTTCCCCCTCTGGTTTTTTGGCCATTTTGGGGCCTTTCTGGATGCATTTTAGGCCATTTTTGACTGTTTGGGGGCCCATTTTGAGGCTGTTTTTTTTCCAGGCCATTTTTCAGGCCATTTTTGGGCATATTTGGGCCATTATTGGCCCATTTTCAGGCTATTTTCAGCTTGTTTTTTGGATTCTTTTTGGCTGTTTACGGTCATATTTGGGCTGTTTTTGGGCCCAAAAAACAGCCTGAAAATGCCCCCCAAAACAGGCCAAAAATGCCCCAGAAAATGGCCTGAAAACAGCCCAGAAAATGGCTGAAAAATGGTTGGAAAACGGCCCAGAAAATGGCCCCCAAAACAGGCTAAAATGACCAAAAAACAGCCTGCAAATGGCCCAGAAAACAGCCTGAAAATGGCCCAGAAAATGGTCTGAAAACAGCCTGGGAAAAGGCCCAGAAAACAGCCTGAAAACAGCCTCCAAAGCAGGCCAAAAATGGCCTGAAAACAGCCCAGAAAATGGCACAAAAATAGCCTGGAAATGGCCTGAAAATGCCCCCCAAAACAGCCTAAGAGTGGCCCAGAAAATGGCCTGAAAACAGCCAGGGAAAAGGCCCAGAAAACAGCCTGAAAATGGCCTCCAAAGCAGGCCAAAAATGGCCCAGAAAATGGCCTGAAAACAGCCCAGAAAATGGCCCCAAATGGCCTGAAAACGGCCCGGAAATGGCCTGAAAATGTCCCCCCAAACAGCCTAAAAATGGCCCAGAAAACAGCCTGAAAACGGTCCAGAAAATGGCCCCCCCAAAACAGGCTGAAAAACAGGCGGGGCCATCAGGGGCGGGATTAGCCCCACCCGCCTGAATCCTATCTCTGCCATTGAGGTGAGAGTGGCCAGGAGGCGGAGCTGGACGTGATGACTGATGTCACCCGCCCAGTCACGTGACCAATCGGCCACGCCTACTCAGCCAGAGAACCGGTTGTTAAATTATTCCAGTCATACCACTGGCCTCGACTTATGGCCACAGTTACAAGCAGTCCTCGACTTACAACCGTTCGTTTAGTGACGTTCAAAATTTGCCACGGCACTGAAAAAAAGAGACTGATACCATTTCTCACACTTATGACCGTTGCAGCATCCCCATGGTTAGGTGAAGAAAAATTCAGCAGCTTGGCAACCGACTCCTATTTATGACGGTTGCCGTGTCCCAGGGTCATGTGATTTGCTTTTGCGACCGTCGGACCAGCAAAGTCAACGGGGAAGCCAGATTCACTTAAAAACTGTATTATTGACTTAACAATGGCAGTGATTCACTTAACAACGGCGATAAGAAAGGTTGTAAAGTGAAGCAAAGCTCACTTAACAAATGTCTCACTTAGCAACCTTAATTTCGTGGGTCAAATGTTGTCGGTAGCTGAGGACTACCTGGATTGGAGAAGCAAGAGGAGGAAATGGAAAGGAAACCACAGGGAAATCAAAAGGAAATGTCTGGGTTGTAGAAATCAAAATTTGTCACCCAGAAACCCACATGATCCTGAGTGGGGTCCAGCTTGATTTCAATGAGACTTTAATTTTTGTGCTGTTGCGATTGTTTGAAAAATGTAAGCTGGCCCTTGTCAGATTCACCAGGATGGGAGACCACCAGGAGAAGCCACAGCCAATCTCTTCTGCAATGGCAGCCGAGAAAACTACCAGGAGGATCTCAACAGTCAAAGGAGAATTTGGGGGTCAAGAATTGTCTACAATCGTCTAGATCCGAGATGGTGTGTTTTTGTTACTCCAGGGTTCAGGTGTGCGGTCCTCCAGGGTTGGCATCGTCCCTGTCTATGGTAGTCCACCATTTTCCTAACTGGCACCCCGTCAATCCATATTTCTCATTCTTAACGACTTTCAGATAGGTGGACTTCAATTCCCAGAATTCCCCAGCCAGCCATGCTGGCTGGGGAATTCTGGGAGTTGAAGGCCACACTTCTTAAAAGTTGCCAAATTTGAGAAACATTAGAAGAACCATTCGACAGAGCTATTGGCAAGAGCTTCCAGGGGAACTCAGTCAAAAAAGTCAAGATGGCAGCTATTAAAGCCCAACCCTTAAAAAAAAAAAAACAGGTTGTCCATAACTGTAGATGTCATGGAGACATTTTTTGACTCCCAAGCTCGGATTGTGACACCTCTTACGCCATCTTAGAGCTTCCCAAGTTTTGCTAACCCTGGTTCGAATCCAGAAAAGCCGCTGTTTTTCTTTTTCTTTTTTTTAAAATACATACCGGCACACTGGAGCCCACACATTCACACGTTGCGTTCCCAGACCCTTGTTCCACCAAGGTTCCCCAAACTTTACAGCGGAGCTTGTGCTGTAATGTCATCCAGTCTTTGTCAAAGCTTTGCCTCTTTTGAGACGGGTGGACTTCAACTCCCAGAATTCCCCAGCCAACATGGCTGGCTTGGGAAATTCTGGGAGTTGAAGTCCAACCGCCCTTAAAGGGACAGAGGTTGAGAAACCTCGTGGTAGAGCCTTCCTAGTCTTCACCACCAGGTAACCGCCGTGGCTTCATCCGTTGAACAGCTACCTCTACGAAAACGGAAAAACAAACAAACACTAGCTTTCGTTCCGTCCTCAGAAAGTTTCCTTCGCTGACCGATCGTCTTCTCCCACCGCCCCAAAAAAGGCAGAAGAAGGAGCAGCATTGAAATAAATAACAGGAATAAATAAATTAAGGAATAAATATGACCACAGTGTCCCCAAAGAGTGGCGCGTCACCCATAATAGTGTCCAAAGGAGTCTGAAGTTTCCCGTAGGGTACGAAGGCAAGCAGGGATCAAATGAGGAAGAGGAAGGGTCCCTTGGGAAGACCTTGCTGGGTGTTTTATTGCTTTTGTTGAGTTGAAGGACGGGGACAAAGGAAGTCAGAAAGCAGATGGGCTTTGTGGTCCGTTTTGGCTCTCTTCCCCCAAAACTCCTCCTAGCTGGATTCACACAACGTGTCAAATCCTACGTCGGATTGACCCGGCGCCGTTCCTGCGTTCACACAATACGCTGGGCCCAAACCAACCCCTTTATTTATGGCTTCACGCACCTGGTTGAGGCAGCAGGGCAGGGGGTAACTCTGGATTGGACCGGGGGGGGGGCAGCCTCAAACTTCATCCAGGTACAAATCAACGTCTTCATTCTTTCAGCCTTCGTTCATTCATTCATTCCTCCGTACACGTTCTCTCTACTCAGTGAGTGAGCGAATCGGAAGGTTGCCACGGCGGTGGTGGGATTCAATTTTTTGTTTTTACTACTGGTTTGGTGGGCGTGGCTTGGTGGGCGTAGCAGGGGAAGGATATTGTAAAATCTCCAGTCAGAGGTGGCGTTTGCCGGTTCTCCGAACTACTCAAAATGTCCGCTACCGGTTCTCCAAAACTGCTCAGAACCGGCTGAATGCCACCTCTGTGCCGCGGGTACGATGTGTCAGCGTTTGCAGGACCGGGAAACCCCACTGCAGCCTGGTTCTGGTGTGTCGTGCAAATCCAGCCACAGATAAGCATGCACGCCACATGCTTAAGCCAGGGGTTTGAAGCCATTTGTCGTCGAGGTTTGCAAACAGTTCTTCCAACGCATGAATGAATCGAAGGTTTGGAGACAGATCGCCCTCCGGAGGGCTTCACCTACAAGTGTACGGGACCTGAGCAAAGCTAAGTTACGGACCAAACTTAGCACGTTGGGAAGGTGTATCGACCGCCGTGACTTCGTTGGGTTGTGCCTGTTGTGTGAACCCAGCCAGGGAGTTGTAGGAAGAGAGTTTCGCTGAGGTTGGAAGACACCGTTCCCCATAAACGTGGTGTCCTGCGATTCTTCCCGTGGATCCTCCCGGCTCCAGCGAGGTTCCTTTTGTGTGTGTATGTGAGACGTAGGAATCCTCCCCAGGACGACCGGAGGAGGCTGCAGGCATGGGACCCCCTCCCTGTCCCTAACGGAGGAGTGGGGAGTCAGTTCTCTGCTGGGCAGGCGTGTTCTGGCCCTTTGAAGCAGGCCGATTCATAGTGTTTGTGGAGGTAGGATTTGAGAGCGAAAGTCTTGTGGCATTGCTTGCAACGGTAATGCTTGAGCGCCGAGTGGGTTTGCATGTGCGCCCGCAGGTTGGAGCGGTCGGCAAAGGCCTTCCCGCAGTGCGAACAGCCAAAGGGCTTCTCCCCGGTGTGCGAGCGCATATGTCCCTGCAGCAGCCACGGACGGCTGAAGGCCTTACCGCACACGGCGCACTTGTGTTTGAGGTTGTGCGTCAGCAGGTGCATGGCCAACGCCGGCATGGAGACGTAGGCCTTGCTACAGGTCGGGCACTTGCGCGCCAGCTTGCTGTCCAGACTGCGGTGCGTCTGCTTGTGCCGGCTGAGGTTCGAGGAGGTGGCGTAGGTCTTGCCGCATTCGGTGCAGGCGTGGCGGTGGGCGCCGCGACGAGGACCCTCGGCCCGCCGGCGGGACCGCCCGTCGATGATGAAGAAGGCGTCCATGGAGTAGCTCTCGGTGACGGCTGCCTCGCCCTGGAAGTAGTGGGACGAGAGGCTGGATTGGGGGCTCTCAGGGTCGCTGTAGTCCTCCTGGATTGGGGTGTAAAGGGGGTCAGGAGAGGCCCCCCGGCGGTGGGCTTTCTTCTTCTCATTCTTGTGACCTGAGGATGGGAGGCAGGCTGGGATGTACCCTGTGGGAGAGAGCAGCACATGGAAAATGTCCGGTAGTCAACCAGCCCCTCCCCACCAATAACCAGCACCCATATCAGCATAGGTTAACTCCAAGGTTAACTTCCGACCCTCCCTCTACTTCCTTCCTTCCTTCCTTCCTTCCTTCCTTCCTTCCTTCCTTCCTTCCTTCCTTCTACCTCCCTCTGCCCTTCCTTCCTTCCTTTCTTCCTGCCTGCTTTCCATCCTTTCCTCCTTCCTTCCACCCCTCCATTCCTGCCTGTTTTCCCTTCCTTCCTTCTTTCCTTCCTTCTATCTCCCTCTGCCCTTCCTTCCTTCCTTCCTTCCTTCCTTCTTTCCTTCCTTCCACCTCCCTCTGCCCTTCCTTCCTTCCTTCCTTCCTGCCTGCTTTCCATCCTTTCCTCCTTCCTTCCACCCCTCCATTCCTGCCTGTTTTCCCTTCCTTCCTTCTTTCCTTCTTTCCTTCCTTCCTTCCTTCCTTCCTTCCTTCCTTCTTTCTACCTCCCTCTGCCCTTCCTTCCTTTCTTCCTTCCTTCCTTCCTTCCTTCCTTCCTTCTTTCTACCTCCCTCTGCCCTTCCTTCCTTCCTGCCTGCCTGCTTTCCATCCTTTCCTCCTTCCTTCCACCCCTCCACTCCTGCCTGTTTTCCCTTCCTTCCTTCCTTCCTTCCTTCCTTTGCCCTTCCTTCCTTCCTTCCTTCCTTTCTTCCTGCCTGCCTGCTTTCCCTCCTTTCCATCTTCCTTCCACCCCTCCCTCCCTCCCTTCCTCCCTCCCTCCCTCCCTCCCTCCCTTCCTTCCTTCCTTCCTTCCTTCCTATGACGGGATGGGACAGGGATAGGATAGATGGAAGGTGGACAGAGAGAGGGAGGGAGGGAGGAAGAGGGAGGAAAAGGGAGAGGAGATGAAGTTGTGCTTAGATATACAAACAGCCAGATTGGACTGTGTTTAGCGTTAGACCAGAAAGTAGAAGACAGTGAGTTCTAGTCCCGCTTGAAACAGGAAAGCTGGCTGGGTGACCTTGGGCCGATCGCCAGGAGACGGTGAGTTCTAGTCTCCCTCTTAGGCATGAAAGGTAGTTGGGTGACTGTGGGAAGCCACCCCACTCCTAGAAGAATGAAGTGTTTTGCGGTATATTAAAAAAAAGACGGCAGGATAAAACATTTCCCCTAAAAGAGAAATAGAAAAATCTTAAAGGAAACCGAAGCTCAGAAGCTCCCCGACTTCCTGCCGACGAGCAGATATTTTGGGACGATTAAGATAGACTGGGCCAGCCTATCTACAAAACAAAAGACTTTCAGCTCCAGAACAGGACACGATCCTTCGAGACAAAATAGGATTAGCCCACTACCCTCACTGCATTGCACGATCTCCTAAGGACGTCGCATCACCCTCCAAACTTCAACCAAGCTTAGCTCAGACAAACACCTAGGATTTGTACTTTGCCTGTAGAGCCATCTATGACCCCTACATAACCCCTCCATAGCCCCATGGGAATCTGACAACAGCCAATAGAATACACGTTCTTGTAACAGGAACAGGAAGTCCAAGGGCAAGGCCCAAGAGGAAGTACAAACCCCAGCCCCTGTTCGCAATTCCGTGGGGGTCAGCTGCCCAGAACCACCCGTGTGGTTCATGCTTCATCATTAAACCCTCTTTCCAATCAGCCTCCAGCCTCCATTTTGTCTCCAGCGCCTTTCTCTCGGTTTGTAACTGAACCAGGTGGATATTTCTTCCAACAGTGACTTTGGGCCAATCGCCAGGAGACGGTGAGTTCTAGTCCTGCCTTAGGCATGAAAGCCAGCTGGGTGACTTTGGGCCAATCGCCAGGAGACGGTGAGTTCTAGTCCC